AACAACTATAGAAATTGAAGTCACTCAGGGAGTATCGACAGTCTAACACTGAAAATTGGTTTAAATTATGCATTAATATATACTCTTTTCGTACTTAACCTTTGTATATCAGTTAAGAAAAGATGCTTTCCTATTTCCCAATTTTGGGGAAAGATACACTAATTTTACCATGTACTTGACACATTTGTAAAAAGAAAGTACCGATTTAAAGTTCCCATGAATTTTGCCCATTTTTCCATTCATATTTAACCTTGTTACATATCTAAAGTTTACTTATATATAAAGAGATAGTCATCAAAGATATCAAAGATCTAGGTTCTAACTTTGATGTAAACTTGCTATTTGTCTTACAATTTCAGCATTTCTTTGAGTCCTAGTTTGAGGTTTCAAAATAAATAATTGTGATGGCTTCTGTACTACTAATGATAGTTACCACAGTGGATTTAGCTTCCTGTGAGATGCATGCTTTGAAAGCAAAAAAATGGTGTAGAAATACAAAGTATTGTTAAAAATCAGCTGAAAGTATGTCTTTTTCTCTTACCAAATGTCCCTTATTTTGGACTATGTTTCCTTCTTCAGGCATTCTTCAATTCCCCTTTCAAGATGTCTTCTCTAATTAAGTAGCTACAGCCAGAGACTCTCATTTACATCTCTGGCAACCATTACAATATTAAGTTCCATCTATTAAGCATCACTTCCTGGATATTTCATAAAATCTGCAAAATCAATGATCCCATTGGGATCAATTGCACTGAACTCATGCCAGTCTCCTTCTTGATGTGGATAATTGGGGTGTTCCCTCCTCTAGCCCCACCATGGCCACTTACATAGTGATAAATTCAACTCATTTTCTTTTTTTTATTTAAATTCAATTAGCCAACATATAGTACATCATTAATTTCAGATGTAGAGTTCAGTAATTCATCAGTTGTGTATAACACCCAGTGCTCATTACATCACATGCCCTCCTTAATGCCCAAAAACCAGTTACCCCTTCCCCCTCACCCCTCCCTTCCAGCAACCTTCAGTTTGTTTCCTATAGTTAAGAGTCTCTTATGGTTCCTCTCCCTCTCTGATGACTTCCCATTCAGTTTCCCTCCCTTCCTCTATGATCCTATGCACTGTCTCTTATATTCCACATATGTGTGAAACCAAATAATAATTGTCTTTCTCTGATTGACTTATTTCACTCAGTATAATACCCTCCAGTCCCATCCATGTCAATGAAAATGGTAAGTAGTCATCCTTTCTAAAACTGAGTAATATGCCATTGTATGTGTGTGTGTGTGTGTGTGTGTGTGTGTGTGTGTGTGTGTGTGTATCCATTCATCTGTCGATGGACATCTCAGCTCTTTCCACAGTTTGGCTATTGTGGACATTGCTGCTATAAACATTGGGGTGCAGGTGCCCCTTCGGATCAATACATTTGTATCTTTGGGGTAAATACCTAGTAGTGCAATTGCTGGGTCATAGGGTAGCTCTATTTTTAACTTCTTGAGGAACCTCCATACTATTTTCCAGAGTGGCTGCACCAGCTTGCATTCTCACCAAGTGTAATAGGGTTCCCCTTTCTCCGCATCCTCACCGACATTTATTGTTTCCTGACTTGTTCGTTTTAGCCATTCTGACTGGTGTGAGGTGGTATCTCATTGTGCTTTTGATTTGTAGTTCCCTGATGCCAGGTGATGTGAAGCAATTTTTCATGTGTCTGTTGGCCATTTGTATGTCTTCTTTGGAGAAATGTCTGTTCATGTCTTCTGCCCATTTCTTGACTGGATTATTTGTTTTTGGGGTGTTGAGTTTGATAAGTTCTTTATAGATCTTAGATAGTAGCCCCTTATCTGATATGTCATTTGCAAATATCTTCTCCCATTCTGTAGGTTGCCTTTTAGTTTTGTTCAACTTGTTTTCTAAGATTAGGTTTAAACCTTAGATATTATATGAAACCTCATCACCACTAACACCTCCATTGCTCATATGAAATAATAGTCCAAAAACATTGTTTGAAAAAAAGGTGATTCAGAAATACAGAATGAAGTTGTTATTATTAGAATGGAAAAGAAGAAGTGTGAAAAAGTAGAATTTAATTTTCTGACTTTAGAATCCAAAGATTTTAAGGCTGAAAGAGTTGTTACAGTCAATCCAGACCAAAGCTTTCTGTGGTTTCTTTTTTTTTTTTTTTTTTAGATTTTATTTATTTATTTGAGAGAGAGAGCACAAGAAGGGGGAGGGTCAGAGGGAGAAGCAGACTCTCTGCTAAGCAGGGAGCCTGATGTGGGACTTGATCCCAGGACTCCAGGATCTTGATCTGAGCCAAAGGCAGTCACTTAACCAAATGAGCCACCCAGGCGCCCTTTTCTGTGGTTTCTATATAAAAAGTAAAAACTCGCCTTAAGATGAAGTTTGGGAAATTTGTACCTACTTGTGTAATACTGACTGTATAATTTGAGTGACCCTTGTACAGCTTTTAAGAAACAATTACTACTCAACTGTAAAAGAAAAAAAATCTAGAATCATAGTATCTGAGCTTCATAGTCTCAATTTTTCCCACTTCCCACAGCATAACACTGAAACCTTCCTGAAGAAATAAAGTTTGCCATCATTTGTGCCTGCCCATATTCAAAACTTCCTGATTAAACACAAACAGAAATTTTCCTTGCCAATTAGGACAATTATGTCTTCTTTACTCAAAAATCTACTCTGCCAAAAAGTTTTGTCTAAAAAGGCAAAACATGAAAAAAAAGCAAACAAGAAGAATATAGCACAACGTTATGAGTTGATTGTGTTAGATTTCATCAGTGAAAGTTTTAAAGAAAGAATTGAGCAAGGTACTTTGGCACATCTCATAATTTCGGTGGGAACCATTACCAACCGTGGGACTTTTTATGGGGTCTTTTCCTGGAGAAGTTTCCAAACATCCAAAACCTAAAATTTAAAATGAAATGTATTTTAAGACTTATCAGTTCCTGAGGCTTTGCCCATATAAATCATGTTTATTTTCATAACTGATTTAAAGTTTCAAGGTGCTGAAATTACAATTGTGTTTCCTTTGAGCACTGCATTTCAGAGATAGAGATAGGTTGTTGTGGACCAGTCAAACCCATCTTCATTCAAACTCAGAGTCCCTTACTGCCCTGTGCTTGAAGTGATTTTCTTTCACAGTGAGATCCACTTCTCCATAGGCAGTTCTTATGAGAAGTTTTCACAGGTTTTTACCTGTAGCTCTCACGTCTTAAAATGGACCAAACTAGCTTCTGAGCACAGGAAGCTGTCTTCATCTCTTTTCTTTTTAGGATCTTTCCCTACTTAAAATATGTACACATTTTCTGTAAGTCTCCAATACTGACTTACTGGCATGAAAAATGATCCTGTTACTTGGATAACAGTTTTCACTTACAAGTCCCCCAGGTCCTATAATGTCTAAACCTCCTGTGCCACTTTATATGTCCGCCCCACCCCATAGAGGAGTATGTACAGGAAAAGCAGACTTTCCTTCCCCCACACACTTCCTCAGTTTATTTACAAAACGTCTTGGAATGAGAATGAGCTGCTTGTGGTTCCTGTGGCTGATACAGGGATGGTTTCCTCTAGGCAAAGGATGCTGGTCAACCAAATGACCTCTCTGTAGCTAACCCTTGCACCCCTGTGGTAAGGCTGATTGGGCTTATGGGTACCCCCTTCTAACTAAGCCTGGTGGGATTTTTTCTGTGGTAAAGAACTTAGCAAGAACCAAACATCACTCTGAAGTCAGACCTGACAATGTCAAGACCCATCAGAGCCCAACCCCGCCCCCACCACCTACAAAAGAAGTCAGAATACACTGAGATGCCTTTGCACTCCTGTGCATCAACCTTTGTTTCTCATAACAGTCACAGTTCTTCCCTTTGGCTTCCTAGAAGGACAATAAAGCTACTTATATTGTATTTGAACACAGAATACACAAGGAGAAGAAATCATCCCAAATACCAGATATGGGAGAGATGTACTTCAGTCAGCAGTTTTCCCTCAGCTCATATGTATGTGTTGATGACCAGTTAATAGTCATAAGAAGATTTAAAGTTGTGAAGATCTTAAGTAAACATGAATCTTCCACATATTTGTTTATATTTATTCAGACTTGCTAATGAACAAGCTCACCACACACGTGAATATGTGTAGCAGTAGTCTTTAGTGTCATGTTCTCACCAAATACTTCACTTGAATAGATGGAAAATGAAAACAAAAGAACTATAAGTATTCTCTCCCCAAAGATAAAATGTTGAACATTATAAATATTATAAATTATAATTGGATATATAAGCAACCACATATGATCACGTGGAAATACTAGTAAGATAAATATCACATTTTCATCATTGTATCAATTTGAACTGATAAATATAAAACTCATGTGAGAGGAGGAAATATTTTAAGAAAGCATGGGAGGGTTCCAAGGAACTACATAATTTCAGAATCAATTTACATTGGAACAAAGAATAAAACCGTGTTTTCTAATAGAACACAGTTGAAAAAAGATATCCTAAAAGATACTCAAGTTAAGTTTTCGTCTATGTTGTCACCCTTGCTTGAAGAAATTAGATTCATGCTTTTCATCCAGCACATAAATGACAAGCAAACTAATGTGCACTGATTTCAGTGCAAAATTACCCAGTCTCCAATCTTCCAGGGTGCTAGTTCAATGAGAATATTTTCACTGTGTGTGTGTGTGTGTGTGTGTGTGTGTGTGTGAGAGAGAGAGAGAGAGATCTATAAATAGTTTGAGGCAGTATATTCTTAGTTTCTAAATCCCCAAATTCTAATTAAATTAAAAACAATATATGTATGTATTAAAGGGAAACACTAGATCATAGAAAAGAGAGGGGAAAATCCCAACTCATTCACCCATTGCCACCAATTGAAAGCTAATGAAACAAAGTGTATCTCCTGCCTAGAGAATGTCATTGGATTTCTATATTTATAATTTAACATTTGTTTTTGTCTTTCTGCCTTTGTCTCTTCAGTGCATCCTAACGTCAGTCAAGGCTGCCAAGGAGGCTGTGCAACGTGTTCAGATTACAATGGATGTTTGTCATGTAAGCCCAGACTATTTTTTGTTCTGGAAAGAATTGGCATGAAGCAGATTGGAGTGTGTCTCTCTTCATGTCCAAGTGGATATTATGGAACTCGATATCCAGATATAAATAAGTGTACAAGTAAGTGCTACATGGCATTATGTTTTTATCTCATCCTTGGGGTCTTTCCAGATTTGAACTGGCCTCTAGCATATTTGTGATATTCAGTGTTAAGGAAATAATGATATTTACCTGATAATTAGGCTAAACCATACTTGGACTTGGCCCTCACAGCAGGAAACTTTTCACCTCTTATAAAAAGCACTAGAGTATTGTGTTCTTGTTGTTTTTCATTGTAAAAGCAAAAACTGAGAACCTGGTTATTCCTCATGGAACCTATAGAAAAGTACTATAAGCCGAGTTTCCATTACTGTCACAGCATCCAAGTATTTAATAACTTAATAAATTCAGCTACTTTTGCTTCAAGAAGGATTCTAGTATAGCAAATGAAACATTTATCTATCTGTTGGAAATAGATGTTGAAAACACTCTCATATCTCCTCTTCTCTGGACCCTGGAAGTCTGCTCTCCCCACTGTAGACCTAGTAACCTTTTGGAATCTAAATTCCACTCAAACTCCTCTCCTGTGACTGCACTGCAGCCATTTTGCGCTGACCTCACTGGTCTTCTTGCAGGATCTTCCCACCTCAAGGCCTTTGCAGTTACTGTTCTACACTCACTGTTCTGCCAGTTTGGAAAGCTCTTTGCCTACATTGTTCCTTGGTTGGCTCTTCTCTTTCATTCAAGGTTCTGTTCATATGTCACCTTCTCAGGGGGCATTCCATGGCCACCCTACTCACAATAGTCAACCTTTTCCCCTTATCGGTCATTTGCCATATCTTTCTCCTACCTTTTATTGTCATCATTATTCTTTCCAGAGCACTAATCACTCTGGAACTAGACTGCTTGGTTTCCAAAACCACTCTGTTCTATGGTCCTGGGCTAGTTACATAATCTTTCTGAGCCTCGGTTTCCTTATCTGTAAAATGGAAGTTATAATAGGGGCTACCTCACTGGGTGATTGTCCTCACAATAACCTCCACAACTTAAACCTCTTAAGTGACTTAATATTATAAAATACTTGCAGCAGTATCTGACTTATAGTAATCACCATGTAAGGGTCAAATGTTGTTATTGTTTATTGTGTCACCCCTCCTAAAATGTAAGCTCTGTGAAGTTATTATCTCTTGTATGCACTGCTATCAAGCAATATCTAGAATAGTACTAGGCACATAGTGCACAATCAGATATTTGTTGAATGAACGAATAGACTCCCAAAACAGCCCAAAAGCAATATCTAGTATATTTCATTAAAGCTCTGATGAAAAACTTTTTGCTGTCATTTAATATAAATAGATACTTGCTCTTATAAACATTTTTGGCAGTAGACATATTGCCAAAAACTTTTCATAGGGCTATCAGTACAATAATTTTGAAACCAATGGCTGATGTACATCAACTAAATGACTGTGGAGGAATCCATATTCAGTTTGGCAAATTAATTTTGAATCCTAAATGTGTTTGACACCAAAGTCACATGTACCTCTGATGTAAGTGTGCAGACCTGGACCAGCAATAGGTAAGTGAAGATAATGAAAGCATATTTCTTTCCTTTTTTCTCTTTCAGAATGCAAAGCTGACTGTGATACCTGTTTCAACAAAAATTTCTGCACAAAGTGTAAAAGTGGATTTTACTTACACCTTGGAAAGTGCCTTGACAATTGCCCAGAAGGGTTGGAAGCCAACAACCATACCATGGAGTGCGTCAGTATTGGTGAGAAGGATCTCTAAGATTTACAGGGGAGGAGAAATACCTCAGATGATAATTTCAGTCTCCATGGAAGTGCTGCTTAAAGTCCTATTTCACAACTACTTGAGAGACTATTTCCAAGAGGCTTTCTTCATCCTTCCTTACAAAGATACTATCTTAACAGAGTTCCCACAGCCTTACCCAGCATGTATCACAGTATAATTTAACACCCCATGGGTGCTCCATTATTTCTTAGAGACTGTTGGTAACTGTTTCAGCTATTCTGATCGTTACGTATTTATTTTGTATCATTATGATACAATGAAGTTCTACTTATAGTAATTTATTATAGACATACTTGCATATGTATTATATGAGATATATATATATATATATATATATATATATATATATATACACACACACACACACACATATATATTTGGTCTTAAAATAAATTTCCACATTAGGACAAGAGTTTCACAAAACACCTAGGTCTAATGTCAAGCAGTGAGCAATGTTGTTTTCCAAGGGGAGAAAGCATTCTCTGGATATAGCCCATTGACACTCAGTAGATGAGCCAAAGATCTACAGAACTGGACCTGATACAGTTAAAAATCTGACTTTTTTCTCTCGCACTGCTTTGCTGAAATGTCCTGCTTGCTCAGGTGTTTAGAAACAAGGAGAGGATTTGGGACTCACTCAAAGTGACAGAAGGACACAAGTCACAGGGTCTGATTAAATGCAGGCTGAATTTCCTGGAGGGGAGGTCCCTCAGACCAGTTGTTTGTCTAAATAACGGATCACTGTCAGGCTCTATTTTCCCTCTTTTAAATGTTGAGCAGCTACTACAGCTATGAGTTTGATGAACAGTTGGGGAACAGATGCTAAACCAAATGGGAAAACAGCATACTAAATCTCAAAATCCCCTGGGCAAGAGCTACAAGAACCTTTGATGCTGCACTGATATTGGCATATGCACACAAATGTCCTCCTGATTCAGTACAAGATAGTCTCCAAGACTCCCCTGGGGTCCCCGCAGATAGATACATTAGAATCAAAAGTGCTAGAGTAATACTCTAAAGTGGTGGTTTAACTGTTTCAGTCAACAAGAAACACTTATTTTAAACAAACTTTGTAGGAGAATGAAATGAATAGATGATATTTTAAAGATAATTTCAGAAGCATCTGGAAAACAGCAAGCATGAAACAGTTGATGGCTCATTTTGGTTTAGTCTTTTTTTTTTTTCCTCCAGTCAATAAAGACGCAGAGAAACAACTTAGAAATAGAGTAAAACGTACATGAGAAAGCACTTCAAGTTCATCTCTTTGTAAGTCCTGAGGGCTGATGATTAAAGGTAATAAGTTCCAAACTGTGGAAGAAATAGGAAACAGTTCTGTGGAGTATTCAAAGACAGAATTTCAGATAAGTTGCAAAAAGTTTGTTGTATTTCTCTACCCAAGAAAAGGGGAGCATGTTTAGATTTTCTTAGTTGTTGAAAGTGTAGCATTCAGTCCTTGAAAGGCTGTTTATCTTAAATGTATTAATGTTTTTCTATCATAGAGAGCATTTAGCACCTGGCATTGTTAGATTAACTAGTAAAGCTGACTGGTAATTTATATTACTATTTAGACAAAAACTATTTAATACAATTAAATTTAAGAAATTTATAACAATCTAAAAGCTATTTAGTGAATCTGGTTCATTGAACAGTTAGGTATAAATGACCTAGGACCGGGTAATAGTGCAAATCCACAACTTTTGTTCAGAGCTATCTCTTGTTGCTTGCCATAAGGGATGCCTCCCATCATGTGCTGTCTAGCCAACAAGCAGTAGGTGGGCCATGACTGGGCTTACCCCAGAATTTCCCGAGAAATGATGACCTGCTTGCTTATCACAAAGGAACATTAAAGCCTATTCCTTCAACAGATATGAAACTAGGACCGAGAACTTGAAATAATGATTCCAAGGACACATTGTCAGTGCTATAATTAGTATCTTGACTCTAGCTCTCTGGTGCTCACCGAAGATATTGAAGAATGTGTCCCTCCCTTTGTGAAATCTACATTGTGTGACTTGTTTCTTACCCAGATTATGATTAAACCGCTAAGAACAGATACTACACTTGATCTTAGCCAAAGGGCTGAGAAGGGATTACCCAGATTATTATTAAGAGGAAAGTTCATAAACAGAGAAAATGCCACCCTGATATAGAGCTAGGGTGAAAGACTTATGTCTCAACGTATCCACTCCTCATGCTTTGCTGTCAAATTAGGCATAAATTGTCCGTTGAACCCAATTTTATAGGAGAATATAGTTCTTCTACTTCATGCTCTAGATATTTGCTTCCTTTCTGCACTGTCTTTGTGTCATCCTTATTTCTTCTCTTGGAGAGTTGGCCTTACTCAAGTATTCACAGAAGGAGATATCCAACTTTAAACAGTGAGTAAAAAGGAACGTGCCCTTGTTATGTTCTCAATGGAACCATGCAATTGGTCAACAAAAATGAGAGTAAACGAGTAATGGTGTTGTAAGGTCATCATTGGTGGAACATCCAGTTCAGCTTTTCTCCCAATTCAAGAATCCCTCTTAGAGCATTCCAGACTACCACAGCGTGACCACTTCCGGGGACAGGAGACCAATGACTTTTTTGAGACCCTTGCTTCATTAGTGAATAGTTAAAGAGTTCCAGTGTTAATATTGTTTTTAATACACAAAATAGAAGAAATAGAGAAAGTAATTTTTTTTCTTACTTACCTCTTAACCAATGATGTCCCAGTTCTGTATCGTTCATTTAATGATCTGAAAGTAAACTAAATAACCTTTTTTGTTATCTTTACACGTTTTCCAAAGTTTCCAATTTTCCAGAAATATTTTTAGAAACTAATATTATAGATTCATACTACAGTATTTCTCTAGGAAAAATTCTCTTCCTCTCAAGGCTTTTTAACTATCCCTTTGTATTAAAGCTTTTTAATATCTGAACTTATAAGTTTTAAATATTTTCCCTCCTTCTTCCTGAATGGAATTATCTAAGACTGTCATTAGAATTTCATATTTTAGGGGCACCTTGGTGGCTCAGTCACTTAAGCATCCACTCTTGATCATAGCCCAAGTCTTGATCTCAGGGTTGGGAGTTCAAGCCCCATGATGGGCTCCATGCTGGCTGTGGAGCCTACTTAAAAAAAAAAAAAAGGAATTTCATTTTTCGAACCATTTATCATAAAACTAAGGATTCTTAGTTATAATTAAAAAAATTTTTTTTCCTAAAGTCTAAATACGCATTTGTTTAGACCACCTTTGCAATTGTGAAAAAGCACCAATATTCGGGTCATTTTCACATCATGTAATTTTTTTTTTCTAATTTAGTCCTCTTGGTTCTGACAATAAATGAATACTAGACAAAGTGACAGCTCACAAACTTTGATTTTTATTTTTCCATTTGCTTTCTTGGAGGTGGTTTTATTTGTGCTAAAAATCCACTGCTTTTGCATCATTAATATCAGGTTGGTAGATATGTCCTTAATTGGTAAAAGATATAATATCATTAAGTGACTTTGTTGCTCTATTCTTTTTTTTAAAAAAAAGATTTTATTTATTTATTTGAGAGAGAGTGTGTCAGAGACAGCATGAGAGCAGGGTGAGGGGCAGAGGGAGAAGCAGACTCCCCACTGAGCAGGGAGCACGATGTGAGGCTTGATCCCAGGACTCTGGGATCATGGACCTGAGCCAAAGGCAGATGCTTAACTGACTGAGCCACCCAGTTGCCCCTATTGCTCTATTCTTTGACTAAAATCATTATGTTATTACTGAACATGAAAACTAGCTTAAGAGTGGTTCAGTAAAGTTCATTTAAGTTTACAGAAACTTAAATTCATTTATTTAGTCATTTGCATTTAACTCTGTGTTACCTTCAGATACCTGATGTGTCTGATGCTATAAGATACACATCAGATACCTGATGTGTCACATGCTATAAAAGCATGTGAAAAAATGTATGGCAAAAGAATTTAAGTTTCTAAAACATTTAGGTTATATGTTTTGGGGTTGCATGAAAGACAGAAATCTGCTCTAAAATAAGGATCCTTTAAATCAGAAGGCAGCAAGAAAGGTTAATGGAAACATGTTTTGTTGAAAGAATCCTCTATTATCTAAGGAATTATTGCTGCAAGCTGTTTCAGTTATTGCAAATTAGGAAGTTGTATGAACATAAATAGAATGATAGTATCTTGCAGATACTTATTTTTGTTAGAAGTGCAGAAATCTGGGGCGCCTGGGTGGCTCAGTCGTCCTGGGTCCTGGGATTGGGCTACCTGGTCAGTGGGAAGCCTGTTTCTCCCTCTCCCACGCCCCTTGCTTGTGTTCCCTCTTTCACTGTGTCTCTCTCTGTCAAATAAATAAAATATTTTTTTTAAAAAAAAAGAAGAAGAAGTGCAGAAACCTGTTACAAGGCTCTGGAAAGCCATGATTGAAAAGAAGAGATTAAAACATATAGAAAAAGGAGGAAAAAATCTACAGAAGCTTTAGAAAAATTAATCTGTTCATCTTAGAAATCACTCCAAGTTAATTCTAGAAGCAGTTTATCAGCTGAAATTGACCCAGAATCCACTTAAAATCGATGCTGCTATGCCTGAACCATACCTGTTAATAAATGATAATATTTAAGTATTCAACTGCACATGAAAGGGAGTGAATCCAGGCCAACAACCTGGATGCCTTTTTTGCTTAACCATTCTCTAGCACTGAAGTTCTCAAAGCGTGTTCTTTGGATCTGCAAATCAGCACCACATGTATTGTTAGAAATGAAAATTCTCAGGCCCCATCCCAGACAACTGAATCAGAAACTCTAGGGGTGGGGTCCAGCGGTCTGTGCCTCAGCAAACCCTCCAGGTGATTCTGTTGCATGCTGAAGTTTGAGAAGCAGATCTGTAGCACATAATAATGACTAGTCTATCAAGTTATGGTCAGGATCAATCAATAATTGTAGCAGTGCTCTAGAAATTATAAAACATTGGTCAATTGTGAGTAATTATATTAGTGCCTGGGTTTATAAATCTACGGTGAAAAGTAAACCTAAAGCAAGAATGAGTTTACCTGACATTATGAACACTAAAAACATGAAAACATTATATTCCTGCCTTTCCCTTTCTCTTCATTTTCTTTAAGTCATCTTGCCCAAATTCGTTCTACAGGATTTCTCAGAATTTGAGCAAGTATTCATAGAAGCAAACTTTTTTGTTTATTGAACAATTGTGAAAGTATCTGTGAGTCCGCTGAGCCTGCTTCTGCTGTTCTATTTCAGTGCACTGTGAGGCAAGTGAATGGAGTCCTTGGAGTCCATGCATGAAGAAAGGAAAAACATGTGGTTTCAAAAGAGGGACTGAAACACGGGTCCGAGAAATAACACAACATCCATCAGCAAAGGGTAACCTGTGTCCCCCCACCAGTGAGACAAGAAAGTGTACAGTGCAAAGAAAGAAGTGTCAGAAAGGAGAACGAGGTACAATCATACTAGCAAAATGTGCTTATTTGAAGTCTCAAAATTTGAAACAAATTTCACTTATTTCTTAGGAAACATTTAATACTATTGCTCGTGTCTAAAACCCTAAAATGTATACCAACCAAAGCATATGTCGGCTGTAAATTACAGATTATAGATGTGCAATTTTTAAAAATAGAGTCTGATATCAAAACTATAAACTACTATAGATGTGTGTTAATTAGATCATGATGAAAAGGGATGCATTATAGATTTTTAGGCCTAGATTTGTCTTTTGGTTCATTATCTTTCTTATCATCCTTCTTAGTACCTAAAAAACTTTTGAGAAGCTTCATAAACACAAGGTCTCATACCATTTGGTACAAGACCATAGTGAAGAGACACCAGCCATAAACTTACTTCTTTTTTCCACTGCCTACAAATCTAAGTAGTACAATTAGTTTGTAAGCTTTTGTAGCTAAAGATATTTTAAGGGTTACATAGCATTTTTTAAATATTTAAATGGATATATGTTTCTAAAGTATTTTTTTTATAGATGTACTTATTTATTTGAGAGAGAGAGAGTTAGTGGGAGGGAAAGAGGGAGAGAATCTGAAGCAGACTCCCTGCTGAGCACAGAGGCTATATTTTTACATATATAACACAAGCATTAATGATATTTGATCCCCAGATTATTTTTATGTTACACTAACTTTATAAACCAGATTATAGAACCTATTAGATCAATAGTAAATATCTCTGTGTTAGAGGGGCGCCTGGGTGGCTCAGTCAGTTAAGCATCTGCATTCAGCTCAGGTCATGATACTGGGGTCCTGGGATCAAGCCCCGCATCGGGCTCCCTGCTCCGTGGGAAGCCTGCTTCTCCCTCTCCCTCTGCTGCTACCCCTGCTTGTGCTCTTTCTGTCTCTCAAATAAATAAAATCTTAAAAAAACAATAATAACTCTGTGTTAGAGCTTGTTCTTAAGTCTTTTGATTGCCAAGAAGAAATATACCATTTAATATAATGTTTTAGGGTAATTAAGCTTCAATTTAGAAGTTCTGCAGTTGTGGTCCTTTAAAATATAATCTTCCATCTTTCTCATTAATGTCCTCCATTCCACTGCCTAAAAAGATAGTTATGTAGCTTTATGTACCTATTGGTAGTTCTCTTGAGCCAATAAATGATCCTCTCAATGAATTGCAGCTTGAAAGGAGTTTGGCTGCCTCTGTAGTTGAACTTCCTTTGCTTTATTTCATTCATTCATTCATTCATTCATTCATTCAACATGGTTTTATTGAATTTTTACCTTGTGGCCACACACAGTGCTAAGTCTTGGGGATTCACAACTGAATAGGGTACTATCCCTATCCTGAAGGTATAATCAGGGTCCAGTGGAGGGTTGAGATGTTTAAATAGACAATCACAATATCATATACAAAAGGAAGATTAATGATACATGAACAAAATTCAGTGGGAACAGAGAGGAGAGTGTTGTGCAAACTTGAACATTGATCCTTTAAGAAAGAACTTGGATCACTGGAACTTTGCAAAATATCTTTCCCTATACCAAAAGAATTGGCCATTATCAGAATGTATCCAGCCTACTGCTGCTATTAGTAATCAAGTAGTCAATGTGATAAAAATTTTGAAGACATGGATGATTTTAAAGGGAACTTCAAGCTTTTGTAAATTTGTAAGAGGTTTTGATTAAAATTAGGTTTAAGGAATGAAAGTTGGCTAGTGAAAATAGTCTTTCTGGCATTTGTTACCAATTAATTTAAAACATCTTAAATTTTAAAAGTTGGATTTGGAAATCAAATATTTCATCACTCGACTTGTTGGTAAACTCCCATAGCTATACATTTACTTATGTTTGCTACATTTTCTTGAAATTTAATGACTTACAGATGGTCCTTGTTCATATTATTCTTTCACAAAGATTCTACATTACTAATTAGTATTCAGTATACTTGACTTTCAAAATGTAAGTGAAGAAAACCTTATCCAATAGAAAAATTAAATTACGATACTAGTTTTTCATTTGAGAATGTGGTCTTCGAATATATTTTGCTAGGACTTGACTTAAATAGTAACATTGAAAATGTCAGTTTTTAAAACCAGCTACAGATAAGATAAATAATGCCACAAGAAGTTTAAAACAATAACCTGTGACATAAGCTTGACTTAAAAGTTTCTTCTGGTCTTTTTCTTTTTCTCTCTGAATAGGATATAGTGACATTTTACATTTAGTAAGAGAACTTCATCCAACTAGAAAAATTTAGGTGGATCACATTTATAATCCCAGATTTAGTTCCACTTTTGTTTAATCTTTATTCATCTTTGTATATGTATCAAAAATTTTTCTCAAGTGGTCCAGAAATTTAACATAGGAGGGAAACCACTTCTCCGTTCATTTCTTTCTTCTCTAACTTGATATTTTTCTTAATTTCTCTTGATGATAACTTACGAAACTTTCTATTTGAACACAAAGAAACCAAATAGAAAAGTAATAATGAACTCTGGACAGGCCACCATATCAAACATCATATCAAAATAATAATGTTACTTGGAGTCTTCTCATTTAGATTCTGAGATATATATTATAAATATTTATCAAGATACATGAAGATAATACAATAAAGTGATAAAAGCTTGATTTCTTCTACCACTAGAATAGCTGTTACCCAAGTTGCTCCTAAATGCTTATAATAAAATAAGATCTTTTAGGTTCATTGTTTCAGCATTTCTAGATGAGTAAGCTAAAGGACTAAGTTTTTAAAATAAAATTTAGCCTGAAGATCTTGAATTTAAACTTTAGTATATCATCCCTAAGAGGCTCACAATAGACAGAGGTAGATAACTCATATTTGGAAAAGGTATGGAGCATGTGTTCAGGATTTTTTCTGCTGTGTTGTAATTGCCAAAAGCAGGGTCTCTAGGGAAGGATGATAAGATCCAGAAATGACTTTCCAAAATGTACACAAAGAAGCTGAATTGAAGGAAGTAGCTTTTAGTAACAGAATGAATTCTTCAAGTTGTGAGATGTATTTTAATATATATGTTGAAAAAATTGGTTGCAAAATCTTATACACACACTTTTTTTTACTAACATCCTTCTCATGTTTAGAATACAGTAAATGAATATGAGGATATAAATATAATTTTTGTAGTTCCCTAAATTTTTATCTGATGTACTATTTGTTTGCATCTTCTAGAATTTTTTCCCTTACCTTTTAATCAGTCTTAACTTCTCCTTCAATTACCAGCTTTAATAAGAAATTAGTACCATTGCAATATTTTCTAACTTGAGTCTATCTCAGTGGAACTATGTATCTGAAATGTCCAATATATAACATATATTTTAAGAGAGTGTAAAGGCTAACATATAAAGTAGTCTCACATGTGCATTAAAACAATGTTTAAATGGAAGTAAACAAGGAGAAAAAAATGCATGTTCAACAATTGTCAGTTAATATTTATTGATCTTTTGATATACTGGGCATCACCATCTTAGATAAAAGGATGTGAAACGGGACAGGGAAATATATATATGCCTGTATTTGATGCAAAAGGGTGATACTATGTGTGTAGAGGTATGGAGGTGTCAGAGGAAGGAGGACCACTAAACATATTTCTCATTCATTTGTACATTTCTTTAACTGAAGAGAATTTCCTATAGATATTGGGTTTTGAGGAATTTCACAAAGAATGAAAGGAATTTTGTTCTTTAGCTAATTGCATTAAGAAGACACTAATTAATTACATGTAGTGCATGATCTTGGGATAGAAAAGAGAAAGAAGAGCAGAGTCATGGAAGAAATGGGGCAGGGTCTACTTTCTTGATTAAAGAAGAAATAGCATCCCTCCGAGCAGAAAGAAAAAAGGAATCATGAGAATATAAAGACAGGCGTATCTCAGAGATACTGTGGGTTTGGTTCCAGACCTCCATAATAAAGCAAATACTGCAATAAAATGAGTCAAATTAATTTTTTGGTTTCCCAGGGCATATACAAGTTATGTTTACACTATGCTGTAGACTATTAAGTGTGCAATAGCATTATGTCTGAAAAAATAATGTACATACCTTAATTTTAAAATACTTACTTCATTGTTAAAAAAATGCTAATGTATCATGAGCCAGTTCTTATCTTTTTGCTGGTGGAGGGTCTTGCCTTGATGTTGATGGGCTGCTTACTGAGCAGGGTGGTGGTTGCTGAAGGGTGGGGCAGTTGTGGCAATTTCTTAAAATAAGACAAAAATGAAGTTTGCCACATCTGTTGACTCTTCCTTTCACAAATGATTTCTCTGTAGTTTGCAGTGCTGTTTGATAACATTTTACCCACATTAGAGTTCCTTCAAAATTGGAGCCAATCCTCTCAAACCCTGCTGCTGTTTTATCAACTAAGTTTATATAATAATCTAAATCCTTTGCTGTCATGTCAGTAATCTTCAAACATCTTCATCAGAAGTAGAGTCCCTCTCAGAACACCACTTTCTTTGATCATCCATAAGAAGCAACTCATCCATTCAAGTTTGATCATGAGATTGCAACAATGCAGTCACATTTTCAGGTTTCACTTCTCATCGCTAGCTATGAAAGCTCTATGCCGCCATCCTCCAATATAAGTCTGTTTGGTCTGCATTGAAAATCTGTGGTTTAGTGTAGTTACCTTCCTTACTGATCTTAGCTGGATCTTCTGGAGAACTTGCTGCAGCTTCTACATTAGCACCTGCTTCTTCACCTTGCACTCTTCTGTTAAGAGACGGCTTCTTTCCGTAAACCTCATGAATTAACCTCTGCGAGCTTCAAACTTTTCTTCTGCAGCTTCCTCACCTCTCACAGCCTTCATAGAACTTAATAAAGGTAGGGTCTCGCTCTAGATTAGGCTTTGGCTTTAGGGAATGTTGGGGCTGGTTTGGTTTTTCTATTCAGACCAATAAAACTTTCTCTATATCGGCAATAAGGCTGTTTTGCTTTCTTATTATGCATTTGTTCAGTGAAGTAGTACTTTTAATGTC